ACATATATATGTATATATTAGGGGTGCAGCAATACATGTACCCGTATCGAACAGTGCTGTATCGAACAATACTGATTTTAAATATTGACTATCAACTTGTCTTCTGAAGATGCTCTGTGTTGAAGGATCAGTGGATCTGTGTTCGACTGCTCCACCTAGGCTGCATTTTTGAGCGCAGATCCACTGTGAAACTTGCTGTTTCAGCAACAGTTAATTAAAAAAATTGTACTTCTGAGGTTAAACAAATGTTCATAATTAATATAAATGAATTACAAGTTTAAGGGGCATGGAAACTGTGTTCGACTACTCCACCTAGGCTGCATTTTTGAGCGCAGATCCACTGAGAAACTTGCTGTTTCAGCAACAGTTAATTAAAAAAACTGTACTTCTGAGGTTAAACAAATGTTCATTATTAATATAAATAAATTACAAGTTAAAAGGGACATGGAAATTTCTCTTTTTTGTATTGAAAAAATATGGAACCGTGAGACTAAAGTATCGAACCGAACCGTGAATTTCCTGTATCGTTGCACCCCTAATACTGTATATATGTATACGTATATATATATAGGTCCTTCTCAAAAATTTAGCATATTGTGATAAAGTTCATTATTTTCTGTAATGTACTGATAAACATTAAACGTTCATGTATTTTAGATTCATTGCACACCAACTGAAGTAGTTCAAGCCTTTTTATTGTTTTAATACTTTGGCAAAAAAGTAAAGAAAAACCAAAAATCCCTATCTCAAAAAATTTGCATATCATGAAAAGGTTCTCTAAATGACATTAACCTAATCATCTGAATCAACAAATTAACTCTAAACACCTGCAAAAGATTCCTGAGGCTTTTAAAAACTTCCAGCCTGGTTCATTACTCAAAACCACAATCAWGRKKMAGACTGCTGACCTGACTGCTGTCCAGAAGGCCATCATTGACACCCTCAAGCAAGAGGGTAAGACACAGAAAGACATTTCTGAACCAAAGGCTGTTCCCAGAGTGCTGTATCAAGGCACCTCAGTGGGAAGTCTGTGGGAGGAAAAAGTGTGGCAGAAAACGCTGCACAATGAGAAGAGGTGACCGGACCCTGAGGAAGATTGTGAAGAAGGGCCGATTCCAGACGTTGGGGGACCTGCAGAAGCAGTGGACTGAGTCTGGAGTACAAACTTCCAGAGCCACCGTGCACAGGCATGTGCAGAAAATGGGCTACAGGTGCCGCAGTCCCCAGGTCAAGCCACTTTTGAACCAGAAACAGCAGCAGAAGCACCTGACCTGGGCTACAGACAAGCAGCACTGGACTGTTGCTCAGTGGTCCAAAGTACTTTTTTCAGATGAAAGCAAATTTTGCATATCATTCAGAAATCAAGGTTCCAGAGTCTGGAGGAAGACTGGAGAGAAGGAAATGCCAAAATGCCTGAAGTCCAGTGTCAAGTACCCACAGTCATTGATGGTCTGGGGTGCCATGTCAGCTGCTGGTGTTGGTCCACTGTGTTTTATCAAGGCCAGGGTCAATGCAGCTATCAGGAGATGTTGGAGCACTTCATGCTTCCATCTGCTGAAAAGCTTTATGGAGATGAAGATTTCATTTTTCAGTACGACCTGGCACCTGCTCACAGTGCCAAAACCACTGATACTGCGAGGAGAAAGTTGAGAGACCCAAGACCCAACAC